TGCCTATTGGGGACATTTTATATAAGTGGAATCAGTATGGCTGGGCATAGTGGCTCACGCCTGTAATCCCAGCACCTTGGGAGGCTGAGATGGGCGGGTCACAAGGTCAGGAGATTGTGACTATCCTGGCTAACACGGTGAAACCCCATCTCTACTGAAAATACAAAAAATTAGCCAGGTGTGGTGGCACATGCCTGTAATCCCAGCCACTTGGGAGGCTGAGGCAGGAGAATCGCTTGAACCCAGGAGGCAGAGGTGGCAGTGAGCCAAGATTGTGCCATTCACTGCACACTGGTCTGGCGACAGTGAATGTCTCAGAAAAGAAAATGGAATCAGTATGTGGTCTTTGCTTGGTTTTGTTTTTGGGGAGGTGGGGGCTGACTAATCTTGACAAGCCAAGGTCCCAAGCCAGCTGTAGGAATAGAAGGAGTTACGGCTGTGAGGATGGCCTCACGATGGGGTCAAGATAGTGAACTTCTGTCCCCTGAGTTATCGTAGAAATGAGGCAAACTGTCTGCCCTGTAGGGTGGATGGTCCTGAGGGAAAGGTTCACATCCTTCCTGGTGCTGGTGACAGAAGACTGGACTGTGCTTGAAGTCAGAGCTTTTCACCTGGATTTGGGCAAATCAAGCAGGCCTGAGTCTCGGGGTAGGGTGAGATGTGTGCTGAGGAGGGCAACACGGGAGCTGCACTGCAGATGGAGACATGCAGGGTTTCAAGGCCAAAGCTGGTATGTTCTTCCTTAAGAATTGCCGTAGGCTAGGGGTGCTGGCTCACGCCTGCAATCCCAGTGCTTTAGGAGGCTGAGGCTGAGGTAGGTGGATCTCCTAAGGTCAGGAGTTGCAGACCAGCCTGGCCACATGGTGAGAACCCATCTCTACTAAAAATATAAAAATTAGCCAGGTGTGGTGGTGGGCGCTCGTAGTCCCAACTACTTAGGGCTGAGGCAGGAGAATCAGGCATTGAACCCGGGAGATGGAGATTGCAGTGAGGCAAAGATCACACCACTGCACTCTAGCCTGGGCGAGATGGCTCATGCCTGTAATCCCCAGCACTTTTGGAGGCCAAGGCAGGTGCATCACCTGAGGTCAGGAGTTTGAGACCAGCCTGACCAACATGGAGAAACCCTGTCTCTACTAAAAATTACAAAATTAGCCAGGTATGGTGGTACATGTCTGTAATCCCAGCTACTTGGAGGCTGAGGCAGGAGAATTGTTTGAACCTGGGAGGTGGAGGTTGTAGTGAGCCAAAATCGTCCCATTGCACTCCAT